TCGATCTCACCGCTTCGCCCTGGAGTGGATGAATTATGAGGTCAGTGGAATCATCACTGAGGGTCTACTGTTACATATCTACGGTGACATGTCCCATCTCGTCCCACTTTTGATCCATCTCCTCCAAGCCTATGACCTCATGTGTCCGGTCAATAGAAGAGCAAACCCAGGCTGCTCCGAGAGGTCGTTTCTTGTACCTGCTGTACTGCCTCTTTACCAAGGCGACCCAGAGAGGTTCTGGGAGCCATTAGCTGTGAGGAGGTCTTTTACTTCGACTTTGGATTCTTCGATCCTGGTACCGTTTACTACCGCCTGTTGGCCCGCTGCTTGACCCTTGCGTGTCATTCAGACAGGGTGAATGCCAACGACTCCAGCCCGTTGATCTTTGCAGACAGATGTCGCTTTCATGTAGGCACTAGTTATATCTTCAAAGTGCAGCTTGAGAGGCGATCCTGTCAGCAGATGCTTTTATCGGTGACTGTCCTTGCATTTGAGTCCGAGAAACCAAGCACGAAGCTGCTTCGGTGTTTACTTGAAGCCGTAAGGAGCATCATCACGAGGGACTATCCGCATCTCCACTTCATCTTTGGTCCCCGCTGTCCCTTCTGTGATCGAGCAGCCAAATCTTGTTCATCAAAACCTGATGGTGAAGGGGTCACCGACGGAAGCCAAAATAACAACACATTCGATCAGGCAATTCACGTTTTGAAAATGGCCGGCCATGACCAGGCCTTCCCAACGAAGTCACCGGTTGTAATGCTCTGTGGCCAGAGGAGATATGAGTTTCCACTGTCTGGCTTAGAATATAAAACTCTGGTAAGCCGATGTCGTTCGTTTTTCTTCGATTAGGCCTATTATTTATGTTATCAGCATAAATTTACCGTCTATTTCTATTTGTTATTTTATTTTTATTTTTTATTTTGAGTTTTATCCATGCACGAAACAAGGCTGGCTCGTGCTCAGCAAGAAAGATCAAGCAGTTTTTGAACGTCAGAGCCAGATATCCATACAGTGAATTGGCGAACATTTAACTCATTGTCATGTTAAGTGGATTTCATTACATTAATGTTTCGTTCGTCATATTCACCTCACTGGCGCCTTTGCGTCAAGTGTGTTCGGTACCCGCCCTTTGTTCCTCAGCTCACATATCGGACTTTTCCAAAATCTCTGATTGGATTCGGCGCCGCTTTTTCATGTGAGACTCAAGCAACCGTTTCAAACTTTGCTATTACAATTACAACTATTATGAAAATAATACTTTCTACGCAAGCGTCTCAGTTCCACTTGCAAAACAATTTTACAGTTACTGTCTCGTCGCTTCCAGTTATGGCGAGATAGTAATTCGAAAAAACAAATTGCCAATGACCCTTATACGCTTCCGCAGGCCTCTCATTATAGACAGTGAAATGTATCTGTAGTTGAACATGAAACTGTATTGAGCTGGGCCGTGACAAATTGGGTGACTCCCACGAAATTGAAATCTGGCGCAGAACACAGAACTGAAGCTTGAATTTGGCTAAACAGCCTGAGAACTGTCCTGAGAATCCAATTGTTGCATTTAGAGCAGGCAACAATCCCAGCCAAACTTGTCGCAACTCGTCACAATTTAAAGTAGGCCCCATACCCTCACAAGTCGCCCCTCCCGCGGTCACTGTTATCTCCAGCTGAAGAATAGACCACGCAACACTGACCGGGGCCAAAGGACAAGGGACCAGCGAGATTTGGCGGGGATTGTAGGTCGAGGTTTTTGCCGGGCGAATGAAAATCGCAACATACGTATCAGCATGCAGCTCTCCCGGTTCTTTTCAGAACCACAAATACTCATGAGAGATAGGCCTATATTCCTTCGCATGGTGATTCCTTCGCACGGTGAGCCTGTGGTTTTCTGAACCATGACCGACTGAGTACTACTTTCCGGCAGGACATCCATAGAACAATCATAATCCCCTCCGTGTCATAAAGCAAAGTTCACTATTGATTCTTGGTGAGGGTTAAAGAGGCCTGGTAGTCGGCGAATCTCTGTTGTAGTTCCAAATTGTGTATCAAGCAGGTGGGTCAGGAGGGGATGATTTTTTAAAACAGAAATTAGGATCGCCACCATTTTAGAAAGGCACCTCTGCCTTTCAAGGATAGAAACATTTTGACAGTCATTTTAAAGATATTTTCCCCTCAACAAGTTATGGATAAGCCACTGCCTATAGTTCCTTTCTTTTAGGTTTCCTAACCACTGGTACCTTTGTTTGTCTGGAAAAACATCAACGATCATTGTGTTCTCCTGTATAGCCTTTCCTAGAAGTGGTGCCTAGACTAACAGGATCTAAACTACTCCCCCCTCTCTCTCTAGGGTATTGTGCGTAGCTCTAGCTATCCGCCCCGCCGTGTAGCATTCAACTTGGACACACCCATCACAAAGTTGCCACCCGATCTGTTCCAAACAGTCTGTCAGCTCCTCAACAACTCGACAGGAAACAGGAACTGGAAAACTTTAGCAGGTGGGGTTAAAGGTAGACTCCATACGCGTTTGCAGGCTTTCCGTTAATATGCTGTGCTCCATGATGTAAAGCCCGATGTTACTACAGGATACGCGAGTATAACATTTTACGACTCAGTTTCATCTCCAGTAGCTGTAGAATTCGGGCTTTAAGTGCAGCTGCAATGAGTTTTTGAATTTTTCTTATTTTCATAAGCTTTGTATTCGTCTTCAATGTCGGAAAACAAAACACTTTTACATTCCTATTTGGTTCAGTATTCATCGAGGAGTGCGCTTTTCAATTAAAGCAATTAAACTTTATCCATGCTTTCCTGTACAACTGAGGACGCTGTTGCGGTGAAGTCATCTAGGGAAGACACAGAGTTCATTACATATAGATGGTCTGTTCAAATTGTGTTCCCAGAGTATATTTACTGAAAACATTTCTGATACAGGGATAGAGGCTTATTGCACATAGCATCATTATACTCAGCAAAGAATAGAAAACAGAGTCCAACAGAATCTTAAAAAAAACATGAAGGACTTTTTGTGTACAAACCAGTGAGTCGTTGAGGCTTCCTTCCTGGGATGACATCACAGTTTTCCTTTAATGTGCCGTCCGACTTGTTGGATCCTGACGTATTTTATCTCAGGATGACGACATATTACAGGTCAGATGTCGATACCTCGAGTTGATTTGTCACGGCATGTCGACATCCAGGTTAATTCATTACAGAATGGCAACATCCTGATATAATTGATCCAGGATGAGGAAATCGTGAAATAAGATGCATGAGGACATTCTGAGATAAGGTATCACAATAGGAATTCTATAAGTGGGATGTAGACATTCTTACATAACTTTCCATTGCATGATGATTCCTGGAAGTAAGGGACACGCTTTCTCAGGATCTCACCTTAAGGATGTCGGCATCTCATAGATCTTATTGCCGACTTCCTATTTTTCGGAATGTTGTCACCTTGTGATAAATTATCTTTAGTGTCTTTGTCTTGTATATTCCAGGGTGTCGACATCTAGCCTGTTATACGTCGTCATTATGGGATCATAATGTCAAAAAGTTGGATGACGCTTTGAGAGCTCATGGCAATAGATGCCAGTCTAAGAATGCTTTCTTTCCGTCCTTACAGGCGAGCTGGGCAAAGACGTGGAGTCCGTGGCCGTGTTAGACAGTGATCGGGTCGCTAACCCTTCCGAGCAACTGCTGCGAGAGTGGGCGATGCTGGACGGCAAGGTGACGGTCAGGGACTTGCTGGAGGTGCTCGCTAGACCTTCCCTCCAGCGGACGGATATCATACATACGCTGCGTGCTCAAATGTCACCGGCGCAAACACTCACGTGATTGTAGCGTTACAAAATTGAAGCGCATTTAAACTGTGAAAACATGGAGAATGACATCTGTCTTAGAGATCAGGCTCAAACGCCCTTCAGATGCCATGTCCTTCATCCACATATCACGCTATCGTAAGGCCTAATGGGCTACCGCGGACTGATCACTGTACAATGCTCAAACTTAAAAGAAGATTTGGAGCAACTATGCATCACTCTCGCTTCTGACAGTGGTTGGCAATTAATTCAAAACACAAAACCAAAGCAAAACATACAGGTAACAGTTTCCAATCCTCTTGACCGCCCTCTGTCAGGTCTTGGTTGTTGAGTTTGGACTTCCATAAAAATGAAAAGTCCGTTGCACTATTTGATCCTAACAATAGAATCTGCACAGTTTATACAATATTATCGAAAATCATTTACTTATTATAGTATTTAATTGAAGGTTCTATTGCCAGGCGTGGATTCAGGATTTTTTGCTGGGTTGGTTGGGTTTTTTTTTTTGGGGGGGGGTTACAACGCGTTCTTGTCGCTCTTGGTGAAGCAGTGTTTTATTCGTTTACTGTATGTGCGTACAAAATAAGACCATTGTTATACTTAAAACGGTCTAGTGGTCTCCTGCACTTTAAGCGGAGACCCTTCGAAAAAGGGAGAACGAATGATCCCATCCCTTCTCATTATACATTATAGAACAAAGAAAAAAGGTTCCCTGGATAAGGATCTGTCTATCAAACCAAGCTGTTTACACTCTGCCTTACTATCAGAATCAATAATCAGTGGTTAGGGGACAGAAAACACCCAAAACAAACCCAACCAAAACGTAAACAAAAATTGGCGTCATTTGGCGAGGCATTAATTTTTTTTTCGTTTATTTTGCCAGTTGTGTTTGTTTTGTTTTGTCATGGTCAGTGGGGAAACTGGGGATAGATGTATTTTTTGGGCTGAAAAATGACCTGATGTTTTGTTCACCATGAAGTATTTATAAAAATTTGTTTAAATGGTGCAGACTGTAAATATGTGAATAACTGATACTTTTTATTGTTTAATTAAAAAGGGTCACCGAAATGTCATTTATCTTCTTCCCCGTCTGCCTAATAAAATGCTCGGACAGGTCTAGAGGGCGCTATACTGATTACCCAGCGCCACGTGCGCCACTGACAAAAAATTCGTGTGGGCTAAGGTATCGGTACTCGGTAGGATGTTGAAAACGTTGACGGAGGCAGGGGTGAGTTGTTTTGTTTCTCTTGATTATCTTTTCCAAGTGTTGATTCTGATTCCACATACGAAGTAAAGTAGCTACCTCTGGCAGCTATTTCGAGGTAGTTGTAATAGTTGTTGGACATTAATAACAGAATAAGTTTGTGTTTGGCGTGATTAATTGGTCGATCGATCTACGGTACATCGTACACGATCGCCTGATTGCTATGCTTGATTGGCCGATTTTTCTGCCTGAATGAAACCTCCAATCATAGAGCAATGTTCTATGCTCCAACTTCACGTCCCTTTTTCATGTGTTTTTTGACACTTTTCAGCAGTCTTTGATAACCTGTTTGTCCCAGCATCCTGTATACAATTTTTACATACTAATCTTCGACTCAAGTCTTTTATGTCTGTCCATACATTGTCATTGCCGTCATTGCCAGCAGTCGGGTCTGCCCTGTGATTGGCAGTTTGGCACTTACAGTGTAAGACTAGGCTAGGCCATAGGCCTATACATGTCATGCCTACCTTGAACTATGACAACACCTCTCCAGGAGGCGATGCGACAAAAACAAACCCCTGTAGTATGTATTAGGTGTGCTGGAACCAATGGACTCCTCAGAGTCAGAGCATGGAGGAAGGAACACCTCCATGGTCAGAGCTAGAGGAGCCTCATAGAGTCACAGTTCAGGAAATTAAACTCCGACCTTCACTGCTCTCATGGCTGGGCATAGTAGGGCTGGAGTTACTCAAGCTGGAGTTCTAGGGTACTGTATGTACATGTACTGGGTACCAGTACATGTACTTATTCGTCTGTGGAGTACTATCAAACTTGTTAAACACCGCTGTCGATCGATTGGGTACATGTCACTTTCCTTCCCGACCCTAAATAAAAATGTTGGGGGAGTAGGCCTTCATGTATTTAAGATTATTCATTTATACTGTATATGCCAAATCTTTCCTCTTGTGGGAGAACAAGTAGGAATGACATACAAAATGGTTCTAAACTTACATAGCATTTTCAAAGATAACAATTAGTCTAAAAACAAAATAAATCTTGCAAAGCCTTTGATGAAAAAATAGTTAAAGAGGTCAAAAACTGGGTCAGATTGCACCACAGAACATCTGGCCAGGGGTATGAGTTGAAAAGAGCACATCTGTAAACATTTGAAGTTGGGCCATGTGCATACAGACAACAGAGGGCGCTGTTTCTGTGAGCCAGGGAAGATTGAAGTTTAACAATCAGAATTCGAAGCCATTACTGCAGTGGCACAATGTTGTGGACAGGTACATGTAGCATACAAGCGTTAAATGCCTCTTTGACCAGTGGGGTGCCGTGATTTGGTAACTCCAGAAATTAGGGATCCAAAAGTGTGACATTTTCATGTCCCTGTATGTTACATCCGACCTTTGTTATTTGACATACAGAAATATCACCAGAATTGATTTCAAACTATTACTATTTGTTTGGCAGATAATTTGTATGAATTCATCACTCCTGGAAATTAGAAAATGTGTTCTGAACTTACAAAATCATATGTCAGATGTACATGTAATGAGACACGAAAGAAAATGGGCCCCTAATTTCTGGAATGACCTGTATATCAAAAATTCTGGTAGTTTTTTGGCACAACTGTCATTGCAGCATGGAATGTTTACTCTGTGATATGGCGCATCACAGTTTTGCTTCACAAATTTTGGAAATACTCATCATTTGCATAAAAACCCATAAGGCTTGTGCAATGTAACCTTTAAACTGTAGTTATTGGACAATTTGTAAGGAGTGTGACTAGGCACAGACGTTCCTGTTGTACTGAAATCATGACTGGGGTGAGGGAGGTCAAAGGTGAGGGAAGCACACTCCCACATGAACTTGACCTCCCTTCCACAGCCTTGACAAACTTCAGCCAGGAAAGTACATGTAATTTGTAAATGTGTAACTCGGGCGATGGGGGGGGAGCTTTACTCCCCACACAAAGGAAGTTCAGGACCCCTCGTGACTTGTAAACTGATCCCTTGCTGTACATGTCCCTGAAAAAAAAACTTAAGGCAATAGGGGCCTCTGCTTCCTTAAAATAAGTGATTGCTCTTGTGTCATTGTTTTGTCGTCAAAATTTGTGAACTTCACCAGATGAGCAATTCTTCAGCATAAATTTGTGAAGTACAGCTACAGTACATGAACACATGAACTTCCTGATGAATGAACATGTACATCTAGGCTACACAGGCCTGTGGTTCCTTGAACCCTCTTGTGCAACTGTGGATTCTTGACAAAGTTGTCCCATCAAAATCAGTCAAATGACCCCTCTGTGTCTGTGTACTGTCGCAAATCAAGTGGGAAGGAATTTGTGACTGTCTGTGACTTTTACAGCAAGAGGAAGTTTTTCGTCAGTCGATTATTTGGTGACGTTTTACTATTTGATCAATCGAGAACTGCCTCGAGAAAATTACACATGTACATGTACATGTTCCTGTCAGAAGATACGATTTGCCACCTCCCAAACAAAATATGTCTTCATTCGCAGGCCAAAACAATCGTGGGATTGTAAACACAGTCGGAGGTTGTAACTGAAAATGTGAATTTCTAAAAATGCTGAAGGGAAAGCAAAATCTATAAGAGAGACCACTTGCTTCGTTTTATTGTTGATCAAACATGCTGTAGCTTTAAAAAGAAAAGAAAATCGTCCATTCAATTAATCGAAACCTGCAGTCAAAAAGAGAAAGATTAATTACAAAAAATACTAAAATATTTGCTGGTCTACTTCTGGTTCTTGTTATTTTGAGAAGAAAAATAAGGCTCAGTAGTTTCGTATTACAAGTAGAAATTTTGTCACTGCTAACTTTGTTGAAATAGAAAGTTATTCTCAGCAGTGTGTCTAGACTGTTGATTAAAGGTTTACTTTCATTTATACATTCTGTTTAAAGATTGCTTCTTTAAAAATACTATGGGCTATATTAATACATTTCAAAAACTACCAATTGTATGGTCATTATTTTATGGTACTTTTCAAGGACTTAAGTAGAGAATTGAAGACAACTGGACAAGATATTACAGTTTAACATTTTCTAGTAAATAAAACTTACAAATGCAAGATATTTTGCAGTTTAATGTTTCCTGTTTGTTCATGTTTGCCAGTAGTACCTGCCCCACCTTTCAGCTGCGACTAAATTTCCATTTCATGACAAGTTTCACACTTTGATACACCTGTCCCTTCAAGGAAATCCACTATCTATTTACGGGATGCATGCCCATTGAGCATTTTATGGTATCGTGTACTCGAGCATGTCAACTTTTGTATGGCAAAGCTTTCCTGTAATGTACACCGGTAGGCGTGCAGGCTTACACATGGTGCAGAACCTATGGGGAGGGATCTCTATTTTTAAGTAGCACACTGTTCTTACATTAAGCGTACGATCAGGCCTTTACCATCTGAATTTCCTGTCGTTCCCAATAACCAGGAAGCAGATTGTGTCCATGATATTTGTGCATTGAAACAGGCCCACTCTCGGGTGGCACACGCACACGTTGTGCATAATTCCTGATACTGATTTGTGAAGTAGTCATGTGGCTTGTCTGTGATAGGAACAACTACTGTTAGTACATGTTCACACACGTATGTGGTCAGAAAACTTCTAGTTTACATGTTGCGCATTGTGTGTGGAAACGCTGTAAGTTCAACCGCAAGTGTCTGCCGTATTTTCAAGCGGACTGGCCCGTGTCAGCACGCCTTCTGATCAGCAGACGGGCAAAGTGCACGTACTGCCAAGACCTTGAATCTGAATTTCCCCAATTTGAATTGATTTTCAAAGCCAGACCAGTTCACTCACCACTGTCTTCACTGGTTAGGAGCTGCACTTCTGGATCTGAAGTGCTTTATGCGAAAGAACGCTCTGCTCCGACAGTCTTCGACTCGCAACTAGTACCAGCAACTTGGGCTGTTGACAATTGGCATCTAGAGTTCATGAATTAATGGACCTGAACATATCGACCATTACTGAAGAAACTTCTTGCAACACCTGCTGATCTTGAACTGGATTGGTAAATCAAAATTGTATTTAAGATTCACTGAAAGCAGAAAAGAAGGAAGAAAAGCACTCGATGGTAGAGAAAGCAAAGACTGTGTCCTGTATGCAAGGGTAGCTCTTGACATTTGCCCGAGTCCTACTGTAAGGCCCATCCTGCTGGGAGAAGGAAGCTTGTTGTCAAGAAAGATTGCGCAGCTAGCGACTCGGAGTAGACTGTGTGACATGCGGCACCAGATGCCGGACGAGACGTGATTCATCCCTGTGTGATGCCCTCTCCATTACACTTCTAGCACAAGTAGTTTCTCGAGTGTGTATATATGATTTTGCACATGCATGTACATGTGTTGTAATGCATCGTGGCCCCTTGTCATCGACGGATCGCATTGTCTAGTATGATTTGCACCTGTCTTACTGGTCGATCAAAGCCCCGTCCTGTGGTGGGCTTTTAGGGTGAATCCCTCTGCCAGTATTAAGTCAGGAAACTTTTTGTCGTGGAGAAACCACCTGTGGAAGTCACCTCTCAATGGCCACTGGGCTGGGAGTGGCAACAGTGCTGTCCGCACTGTTGACACTGGGCCTGTTTCTCCCTGTTTCTGGAAAAGGTAGGATTTCTGAACTACCAGGACAGTATCAAACTTATTAACTTGTTTCAGTACAGTTTCTAAAGTAACTGTGCTTTTAATGTGCAACTGGGCAAGTCCACGGTATTTTGCTGACATCAGTGTGGAACGTCAGGATATCTAATCTTCCTCACTCTAACAAAATACACCAAAGGTCTGATTTTTATTGCTTGGCAGGACTACTCTCGGGGGTCGTTCAACTTAACACAAAGTATTAAGTGTAATGGAATAATTTTGGTTTTGTGCTAATTTATGCACTCAGTAATGTATTGGTACAGTGTTAATATGAGACAACGATTGAAATTACACATGAGCTTGGTATTGTCAAGTTGAAAATCCTCAGAGGCGTGCATTGAAAGCCGACCTTTGGTGTAGCGGT